CCTCTCTATGTCTATAATATTACCAGGATTTGTGTCTCTGTTAGTGCAGGGGGAAAATGCTAGACCTACAGTCAGGAGACCTGGGTTTGAATCTATGTGACCTTGGGCAAGTCACCCAAACCTCTTGGGCCTCGGTTTCCCGTACGACAAAGGCGGTTGGACTAGATATTTCTACGGTTTCTTCCAGCTCTAAATGTGTGATTCTATAAAGCCAATGTTCTCACTGATGAAGTTCTAATTCATGTCTTTATCACCTCATGTTTGGATTCTTGAAACCTATTCTCTACTGGCTTTTCTTTTTCTAGTGGATCTCATCTCTAGTGAACACTAGAACTTCTCCCCAAAACATATTAGCCCACTCTTGTGACCATCTCACTCTACTTCTAAAAATATTCCACTGGTTATTATCTGTATCTGACTCACACATTAACCTTCAAGGCTGTCCACCTATCTGTTCTTTATTAAATTGATCTGGAGCCAATGTCTTCATTGGATGTTGCTATTGCTAGGTAACCTCACATCCTCCCTCTCATTCTTTTATCATTCCCACTTTGGACTTTTCTCCCTCAATTCTTGAAATTCAACACAAACCAAAAAAAAATATGTATAAACCATCTACTACATGGGAGGTATTGTATGAAGCACTAAGGATACAAAGATGAACTTGCCCTCAAGGGGTTTACAGTATAGGAAGGGAATAGGATATGTGGATAAATAACTGTAACACTGGTTATTGTCAAGGAGTGCCCTGACAGGGCAAGGAAGGGATCATGTCTAGTTGCAGCAGGGGAAGGTAGTGTCAAGGAATTTCTCTTACATTATCCTAATCCAAGTTGTTACTTTCTTGATATTATTACTTTGTGTTTCCCCTTAAATCTCATTTCGTTCTGGAAAATTTTAGTTGATTCTGAGTTAGAAATTCTGAATCTGACCTTTTACCATGTCTCATAGCTCACCAGTAGGCATACACCTTTAAAATATAGATGGGATTGATCATCCATCCATAAGCTATCCCATGGCAAATGATTTTCCTTCGCATAGCATGAACCAAATAAAGAGTTTGGAAGAAAAAAATGAACACACGAGCCTAACTGAAATGATAGGAAAAACTAAGATATGTGCTTATATGTTTCATGGAGTCATAATATCTCAGGGTTGGAAAGGGTATCAGAGGCCCTGTGACCCAATCTGCACCTGAATAGAAATTCCTTCAACATTATTCTTGAAATGTGGTTATCCCATTTTAGCGTGAACATCTCTAGTGATGGAGAACTCACTGTCTTCCAAAATAACCCATTTTACTTTTGGATAATTCTATTAATTAGGGTTAGGATTTTTGTTTTGTTTTTTTAAACATTGAAGTTTCTTGTATGTTGAATGGCTGGAATGCATTCCCTTGCCCAAGTATATAAAATGGAGATATCAAGCCTAGTTGTATTCATTTGTTAATAGCATAGAGCACTGTAGTATAAAAATGTGGCATTAAATTTGATGTCATTGTGGTGTTCTATGATTCTCAGCCATAGAATATCAATGACTGGAAAAATACTGATGTGAAGAAGATGAGTTGTATAGAAGAGCAACTTGGGATTGCTGAAGTTGGGTCAGTTTCCCAAATGTGATATGCCCTCTCCTTTTTCTCCTGTTCAATTCTAGGCCCAGCTTTTTGTCCACTTGCAGAACCTTCCCCCAAAACATCTACTGATGGACTAGTGGGCTGCCTGCCCATCCAGAATATGCCCAGCATATTCTGGACAACAGGCATTCTTCATCCATTTTGGTTTTCTTATGTGGATTGTTAAGCATTCCCTTTCAAGTGGCCATTGAGGAGGCACTGTAGTCTGGGGCTTGAAGCAGTCAGTACAACATATTTTGTAAACAGGAGCATCTGGAAAATCTCACCGTCTGTAGGGAACTCCTATTCCCTTTGAACCTTTTGGAGAACAGCTTCCAAGACAGTGGTGAACACTTTTGGTGAGCATATATCTATCTCTGTTTAATGATCAGTAGACATTAAACAACATTTTCTCTGTGGAAACTTGTATGATATTAACCTTTATTTGAAAGTCATCTTGTTGGAGGATTACCTTTAAGGTTACATCTTTCATTACCAAGTCACAAGCCTTTTTTTTTTTTTTTTTAACAACCAACCATAGGCACAATGGGATCTTGTTTTCTCCTTGTCTTTAAGTCAATTGTATGACTGAATATGTGCTCTATCATAGAAAGTTATCTGCAGAAAGTTTACCTGTTTCCTTCTCATATTTTCATCAAGGTTGCCATCAGTATCTGGGTAGCTTATTTTCATAAAGATTCTATAGAGGTTAGGAAGGCGGCATTTGGGTTGGGAGTCACAGATATCCTCTCAATCACCTTTTGGGGGAATAATACAGCTTGATTTTTTCAGGCCATTTGCTCCCTCCCCTCTACACGGTCATCATCTTGATGGATTTTTTGAATATTTTGCTTATGTTCATCATGAGCACTGCAAGAGAAGATGATCCAAGTATCCTAGAAAAGAGCCTTTGGGTACAAAAGAAACGAGCTTTGCTAGCTTCATTATTTGCTTCTCCAAAGAGAATCTGATTGACAGACATCTTTCCATTTAGCTACATCTTCCTTGTTTATGGTAAGAATGTCAATACTAAGATGTTTCTGTTTCTCTGGTGGTATGCCAACCCATTGGCCATTGGGCCAGGATCTCACATTTAGAGTGCCACCCACAGCTAATGTGCCGTCAGCCTGAAAACCTGGGTTTCTTAGTTCTCTCTACCCCGTTTTCACCACTCTGACATCATCAATGCAGAGGCAGAATAGAGCCACCCAGGTCTGAGAACTCTGCTGTATTTCTTTTTGATTCATGGGTTGTCATAGCCAAAGAATTCATTATCTCCCGGTGACCAAACCGCTAGCAATGAACATCGTTCTATGGATCCGGGCTAATCTTTGGACAACAGGCACGGTCTGTACTGGGACCAGGCTCAGAGCCTTTTCAGCTGGCAGCGCCTCCCAGAGCTTGGGCTCCCTGGGCATGGTTTCTGGGGCCCTGGGGACACCTCCAAGCCAAGATGAAGCATTGGACTGGGGCCTTTGGGGTCCTTCCATAGACTTAATTGCATGTTATTTTGGTGATGTGTCAGTTTTTCTTGTACTGTTCCTGGCATCTTCCAGAAATAAGTGCACATATGGGATCAAACATGTTGGCCGGCGGTGTTGGTGTGCTGGGAACCACACTGCATTTGCTCCTCAGGGAGAAAATGTACATTTCTCACTATTAGTTAGTGGCTAATTTTGACATGGTGGTCTTTGGACAAAGATGGATGCTCTGTTTTAAGTTTGTGAGTTTTCTTACATTAAATGCCAGCTTAAAATAGTTACAGCTTTCAGAGTGAATAAACCTCAAGAGATCCTTATTCATTTACTTTTCTGGGTTTTTGATGCTAAATGAAGTCCAGACCTCGTAGCCTACTCTGTGTGACAGCCCTGCACATGGCCCATTCCTATCCACGTACGTGTTGCCCCAGCCAACCTGGACCACTCATGGTCTTCCCATACACTAACAAGCTGTGTGACCTTGGAAACCAAAGAGAAGTGTGGCCAAGCACAGAGAGAATGCTGGACTCGGAGTCAGGAAGACCTGACTGGATCCTTAGCTGTGAGACTCTGGACAAGTAAGTCACTCACCTATCTTAGCCTTGGCTTCCTTATCTGTAAAATGAGGGGGGTGAACTATACGACCTTGAAGGTTCCTTCTAGCCCTGGAATTCTGCCACCAGCCTTCCTTTCCAGTCTTGGCCTGTACCGTTCACATCCTCTGGTGTAGGGCCTACACTTTCCAGCCTTTGTTTGCCTTTTTTCTCACACTTTGCCTATGCCTAGAATGCCCCACTCCTTCCATCGCCTTCTTCATACTGAAAACCTACCCATCCTTTAAGGCCAGCTCCAAGGCCACTTCCTCCCTGTGGCCTTCCCTTACCCCAACTCCAGATGCATCAGATCCCCGCCCCAAAACTCCTCTCTGCTTCACCCGAAGTCATACAAAGGCAGGGACATGGTCATGATCATGGTACCTCCCCTGGCACAGTGCTCTGCACATCCATAGGGACTGCACCTCCCAGGTGAGGAAACTCCCTCCACATTGTAAGCTGTCCCCTTCTCTGCAACTTACCATCCCAGAGTGTCCCCTGGGGACTATGAGAGGTTGTGATGTCCAGGATGGGGAATAGGCCCTCTCTCTGCCACGTAGGCAAGTCTTCTTCTGCAACTAATAGGTCCCCAAGAAGTGTTTTTTGAATGAACAGCTATATGAGTACAGTAAAGGAGTAGTTAAGAAAAAAAATAATATTTTGTGCTGTAGGCTAGGTTTCAGAGGGCAAAATAAAACACTCTGTTAGAAGGAGGTGACCAGGATGGAGGCCAGGCCACAAGAGGACCATTTGAAAGAACTGAGGCTCTTCGGTCTGGAGAAGAGAAATTTAGGGGGATGTGATAGTGTATAGGGCATGTTCCAGGATTTCAAGGGTTGGTCTGTGGGAGAGGAATTAGGCTCCTTCTGCTTGGCCCTCGAGGGGAGAGCTAAAGACAGAGGGCAGTTGTGGCTTGCTGAAAGGAAAAGCTTCCTTATCATTTGAACTGTCCTAGAGTGGAATGGGTGGCCTCGAGAGGCAGCCCAGTCAGAGACAACTGCTTCCTGGCCCGGTCTTGCATTTTTCTGGGATCCTGTGGATGGAATTCCAGGTCAGAGCAAGGTGAGAATAGATGGCCCAGGAAGGCCACTGCAGCATTCGGATTCTGTCATTCTAGTCCAGTTTAAGGCTCCAGGCATTATAGATATTCCATACAACTCTAGGTGTTCTCAGGTCCTGCTGTAGGTGGATTTAGGTTAATTTCATTGTGCACATTTAAAACCTTAAGTTTAATATGGTTCACTTGTCAAGGTCTTTGTTTATGATCTCATTTGGATATGACGTGACCTTTCTCTTATTTTACATCTATTTTAGATTCGACCATCTCTGAAGGAACATCCTCATCTTTTTCTACCTTCTCCATCTCATCCCCTGACTTAGCCACTCCAGAAAGCATCCTTCATCCTTTAGGTCGGCCCTCTGGTGGACCTTCCCTTAGGCCTTCATCGCATGGGCCTTCCTCCTCCTCTGTGCACTTCAAGGAGATGCAGGTCAGGGTTAACCACCCCTTTGCTCCTTGTCCAGCCTCTTCAGATGAAGATGAGAGTGACACCATCAACCTGTTAGACATCCTCCCTGATAATTCCACTTCTGCAGACCATCGAACTCTCAATGCTATGAGGGGCAACTGGATCAAGTTCCCCATTCAGGATAAGCAGTGCCTGACCTCGGCATCGGATCCTACTTCCCTTGCAAGCAAACGACTCCCTGAGGCAACTGGTGCCAACACGCCCATCATGGCAGAATTAGTAGAGATCAAAAACGCTATTCAGAGATTGCACGGAGATCTGAGTGCCGTGGTCCAAGAGCTTCGCATCGTCAACAGCCACCTGGTGAGCATGGAGGCTGGAAACAGGCAGCGAGGCCCTCAGCCTCTCAGCAAGCCTCTCCTACCCCGAGCTTCCCCTCCCACGGACGGCCCGAGTCAGTTCTGACCTTCCAAAGGACGACGGTGGTACCTCCCTCACTCCTCCTCCCCCAAGATGCTGGAGTTGACTTCACGGATTTCTGGTCCCAGCAGCAGGATCAGTGTGGCGGTTTCTCTTTTTCTTTTAAATCTATTAGCAAATATTTCTCCAATCAGTAAGTAAATTTGGGTGGCAGTAGGAGGGTGTGTGTGTCTTTCTTTTTTTTAAGGGAGGGAAAAGATTTTATGTTTGATGCGCATTTCCAGGTTTTAGGTATAAGCACATTGCAAACCCAAGGGAATTTTATCTTTGATGTGCTGTTTTATTTCAGAATGAACAAAGCTGTCATAAAAACCCTCTCTTCCAACTGGCTCCTTCTATTGTCCAGTTCATAGACAAGGGCTGCACCAGCCCATTTATATTCAGTTACGTGTTAATACACCTTAGCCTCGGCCTAGGAGGTCCACCTGAACTGTTAAACTCATGCTGTCATCGAGTCTGCGAATGGTAAACAGGCTTGTGGCTCCCTCTCTGTGTGTCGTGGTCAGCTAGGAATTAAATAGAAACAAGGCCCCTCTATGATCCTACAGGCCCTGACATAGCTGTTCATTACAGCTTCTTATTGTTCATTTAAATTAAAATATAACCACAAACATGCTGGCTCATCTCTTCTGTTGTCAGGGGAAATAAATCGGTTGTCTTTATTTTATTTTTTGTCTTTTCTCGGTAGACTAGGCTGGCCTTTCAAACACAGACCAGATCCATTGACTCGAGGGCAGAATGGCCCTTTGGTGATTATCATGGCCTCTTGCTAATCTTCTGGGCTTTTGCCACTTTCTAAGCCTGGCCACCAGGTTTAAGCGTAAAGAGGTCTAGGAATGGTGGCAAAAAGCCCATGACACTGAAAAGTCCATTCCCTAAGACAAGGGAGGGAAACCTGCGACCTGGAGGCCACGTGTGGCCTTCTAGCTCCTTGGGTGCAGCCTTTTGACTGAGTCTAAGTTTTACGGAACAAAGGGCAGCACCCAAGGACCTTGAACGCCACACGTGGCCTCCAGGTCGCAGGTTCCCCACCCCTGCCCTGAAAGCTTGGATGGTTAAGAAGGTTAAACTGAGGATTGAATCAGGTTTTTCAATAACATTTAAATTTCATGCATTATTTTTGTCACATTTAGTTCTAGTAATCAAGAAATGCCTATAAATTTAATTTTTTTTAAACTTTCCAGCAGCTTGTCACATTTTATTTAATGAATCAGTCTAGAAAGGTACAATAGGTACATTCTCTATTATTCATCTGGTTTACTAGCCTTACATTGATGGTTATTTCAAGTTATTTCAAATCTTCTTATTTAAGTTCATCAAACTTGAAAGAAAGTTTGATTTTTAGATAACTCTCATTGCAGATTTAATCACAATAACAATTATTATCAGTATGGACCTGTGATTTCCTCCCAGTGTGGAAACTCCCTGCTCTGTCACAGATTGACAGCTCTTCCATAACTGAGAGTCTTAATAACCTGGGATACAGTGAGATCAGCTCATTTGCCCACAGTCACACGTTGTGTGTCAAGAAGAACTCGAACCCAGGTCTTCCTAACTCTGAGGCCAGCTCTCTCTCCCCTATGCCCATGTTGCCTCTCCACTGTGGAATATACACTGATAGACTGGAAGTGGCCTTTGGTGGCTCATTATAATTAGTAGTACTTTTATTTTAATCCCTCAGGAACAGCACTAAGCACATAGCCGGCTCTCAAAAAATGATTGTTGAATGAATGAATGAATGAGGGAGTGAAATATAGGATTCATATCTTTTAAAGTAACCAGTGTAACACAATGAATTCTAGGCTAATTAAACCAAGATGACTGACGACACACTGCTCCACTCCCCCACCCCCCAAAAAAGAGACATTTCCACAGGAACTAAGAAGCAGGGCTTTCAATAAGGTTGAGATTCTGCAGAATTTCTTAATGAGTCTGGGGAAGGGACTTTCAAATATATGGATAATTTAGGGGATAGGAGACTACACTCGCTTGGTACCATTAAGAGCCTCCCTAAAAAAAAAATCCGTGGATATTTATTGGCAAGAATGGGGGGATGCCCTTTTAAGTCATTTACCTTCCCTCTCCCTCCCTACACCCTCCACCCATGCTAAACACCTACTTCCAGTCCCTGGAAGCAAAGTGTCAGGTCGCCAGGAACTTATGAGCAAGGAGGCAAAAATCAGGCCCTCTGGGAAATTGCCCCAAACATACTATTTCAAGTTCCAAGTAGGTTTTGCATAGCCCATAGCCTTCAATTAGCTAATTAACATAATTAACAAACGCCCTCCTTTGGCTTCCCATTTTGCCTCATCTAGCTTGATGAGCTGAAGAGGGAACTGTATCCTGATTCAATCTGAGGTCTTTTTGTAAAAGGAAAAAAAAACTTCATTGGCGATATTTCTTCAAGAGAATAGTTGTGTTTCTCCTCGGCACTAAGGGCTGCCTACTTCGAGAAAGGCCTGTTTTCAGAAATGAGTTTTCTCTTGCCTGGTTTCCTAGCTCTTACGAGAGCATGTCACCACCAAAGATTCCAGGAAACCGATAGATCAGAAATGTGCAGTTTCGATTTCAGCCTGCCTTCAGGCAATGGTAGAAGACAGAGTCTGAGGGGCCAATGAGTGGCCAAAGAGAGAGGCCTAGCAGCAAATAGAGGGATTGTTTTGAAAAGGAAGTAGGGTAGAAATAGTAGGATTCGAGGTTTCCCACAATCCACTTGGTTAAGAAATTGGTCAAATAGATTTGAAAAACAGACCACTGGAGGCTTTGGGGACATATCTTCCCACCAACTGCTTTCAATTTGACTGGGCTGCCCCTGGCTAGGCTTTTTCTTTTTTCTTTTAGCTACAGTACTTTTGTGTGTCTTCATTTTATCAAAAGAATGTTGAGAACTGACTGTTGAGTTAATAAAATAAAATTTAGGTTGGTTTGACTGTAACTTTTCCGCCAGGTTGTACCTTATTTTTAATAGCAGCGTTCTGAAATGTGACGAAAGAATTTCGGTATGTAGAATGGAAGCTTTTCTTTTCTCCAGATTCTAACTGATTTGAGTAGGCCAAGCATATTATTGCTATACCAGAAGATATTCCCCATCTTTTATCAGCAGGCAGACTTAGGAAAAGAGCAAATTGGCTCAGAAGGAACTGCATTTTCAAGATGATTTTGTTTGGTTATTTTGAATTCTGTTTTCTCACTGAGGGTGCCAAAAGTTTTCAGCGATATGGTAATTATTGTAAAATGATGGCTGCAGGCAGTCATAGCTTTTAGAATAGAGGAAGAAAACCACAGTCTAAATCATGGCAATATGCTTTGTGTAGTTGGTTATGTTGGGGGTCAGCTGTGGTTCCCTGAATTCCTGTTGTATCTTTTCGTCTCTAACAGACAGCCCAGGACCTGGGGCCAGGCAGGGTTCTACTTGTCTGCGCCAGTCATGGACGGGCCTTTTTCTCCTGCCATGAGGTGCAGCCTCTGAGAGTTATCTGAATTTGTGCTTATTAAGAGATCTCAGCACATCCGAGAGTGTGAAAACATCCCTAGCAAAAGAGGACTGACAATGCATCGGCTTGGTAGGCTAAACAAATGATGTTTTGATGCGCTAACAGTCTCTAAAGACATCAGTGAGTAGTTAACTTTGGTCCAAGTGGTTGGTAGGAATGCAGCGAGTTTTCTGGTTTGCAGATTCTTCACGGACATTGCTTTTAGCGATAGTAGATGTGCGCGTGCGTCTGTACCAACACCTACAACTGTATCTGTGTATAGGGAGAGTGTATCTGTATATGTGGGTACAAATGTGACTTTACAAGCCGTAAATTTCCAATGATCGCATGGTGGCCTTGGGGCAGACAGGATAGAGGGAAAGAGGAAGAGGAAAGAGCTGAGTCAAAAACAACTGCCTTTTATTTATTAAAACACCTACTATGAGCAAGTGCCTGAGAAATGCTCTCTTCAAGGTCTCCAGAGATGTCTTAATGGCCAGAGCCAATGGCTTTTTCTCAGTCCTCCTCCTTTCTGACCTTTCTGCAGCGTATGATAGAATTTGCCCAGTACAAATGTTCCCTGAGGCTTTGTCTTCAGGTCTCCTCCCTTCTCTCCCTGTTCTTCCCCTAAAAGAGTGATTTATAAGCATTCAAGTGCTACATGAATATGTATTATTGTAATAAGTGACATGAATAGAGGGATTCAAGATCTGGAAAGCATTTTACATCCATTAGCATATGTAAACACTTACTGTTACTTTCATGTATCATTGTATGGCATAGCAGCAATTCTTTCCATCCTGGCCACCGCCATCTTGGAATACATTCCAGTTTGTCAACGTCCTCCCTAAAATATGGCACCCAGAACGGAATCCAGAACTTCCTGTAGATATGATCTGAAAAGGCTAGAGTTCAATGGAATGCTTACCCCCGATTCAGAACATTGTACTTCTATCAATGAACCCTGAGATCACATTCACTTTTTTAACTGCTGGCCTCCCCTATATTAACTCATCTTAAGCTTGGGGTTCAATTATGATCTTAAGTTTTTTCAATATCGTCTAACCACATCTTGGGGCAGCTAGGTCGCGCCATAGTGCACAGAGCGCCAGGGCATGCTGGGCCTGAAGCCAGGAAGACTCACTTTCCCAAGTTCAAATCTGGCCTCAGACCCTCACTAGCTGGGTGACCCTGGGCAAGTCACTGAACCCTGTCAGCCTCAGTTTCCTCATTTGTAAAATGAGCTGGAGTAGTAAATGGCAATCCACTCCAGTATCTTTGCCAAGAAAACCCCAAATGGGGTCAAGAGGAGTCAGACACAGCTGAAAACAACTGAACAACAATAACAACACATCTCTCCTATTGCGTGTTCATCTGTTGTTTTATGGGTACTCTCCCAACTAGAGTGTAAGCTCCTTGAGGTCAGGGGCTCTATCTTATGAATCTTTGGATACTTCCTCTCCCAGATTGAGTATACAGTTGGGCATACACACACGTGCGAGCACACATGCACACACAGTCACACACAGTCACCTTCAGATAACAGGTGCCTAACAGTCTAGATAGGCCCAGTAATTCCCATTTGAGAGATGAAGCAGAGAAGGCCACAGAGGCTAAGTAACTTGCGTGAGGTCACTCAGCGAGCTGGGGCAGATCCGGGACTAGAACGCAGGTTTCCCCGTGTCCATTCTTCTCACATTCTAATCACCTCTACCTATCAAGAGCCTTTTCTTCAAGGACTAGCTCAGATACCCTTCCTCCATGAAGCCTTTTCTGATTCCCCAAGCAGAAAGCGATCTTTATTTCTTCAGATTTCCTGGTAACATTTTGTCTGCACCTCCCCTGTCCTTCCATCACTTTCACATCCCTCTCCCTTCTAAATCACGTGTAAGCTCCTCGAGGGAAGGGACTGAGTCATTTATGTATCATTACATCTCTAAGGCAGTGTTGCCCATAGTGGTTAGAGAGCCAGCCTAGGAACCAAGACAACATTATTATCTGATACGTGTTATCTGTGTGACCCTAAGACAACTTCTCCATGCTGTAAGTGAGTCTCTTAATCTTCATTTAAGGAGAGGGCTCAGCTCAGAACATCTCATTTCTTACCCGGCCGCCCTCCT